ACAATAAACAATAAAACCTTACAACAAGGTCCCCATAAGATGGGGTTGACTTGGAGGCACATAAGAACAAGAAGGGACCAATCTAAGACTGGCTAAAATCAGCATTGAGATGTTGTTGGGATATAATTCTCATCACCCCAAGCCAATATTGTCAACAGTGAGAGAAGACAGGAGTTGTTGTCCTAGGAGAGTTGGAAAGTGCATTTTTTCTACTCCTGGACAAACTCATCTCTTCAATCCACACAATAAGACAGAGCAATTGCTCTGTTCACATGGCTTGCATTTTATAGGCTGGTTATATAGTTAGGGGGTTGCTTTTCATAAAGAAGAACGTTTGCTGCTTCTGTACTATGAAAAGATCTCAAAAGCTGTCCATGAGCTCATGCTTCCTGGAATTTTCCTAAATACATTGGAAAATACAGAGCAACTGTTGTTAACTGCATAAGAAGTGGGGGAAACTCATTGAACAAAATAAATGCATGTCTCTTGAAGCAACTTTTAATAGAATGTATATACTTCCAGGTGTCACTTCACACATAAAGACTGCAGCCTACTCCCAAAACAAAAGAGGAAATGCTTCATCAGGGAAGGGGACAAAGAAGGACAAAGATTTGTACAGAATTCAAATATTCAAATACAGGGGTAGGCAACCTTTTTGAGCTGGGGACCGGGTTGCTGTCCCTCAGACAATTGGGGGGCCGAAGCACCAAAAATAAATAAATAAATAAATAAATAAATAAATAATTTTTTAAAAAAAAATTAAATGTTTTTTTAAAATATGCATGCACACTCTCTCAGCCCCAGAAAAGCCATGGCAAACCCCCTGTGGAGATTTTTCCAAGAAAACCCCAAAAACAAGTAATAACAACAATAATCAATATCATCATGGTGGGCGGCGGTGACGGTGGCGGCAGGACCAGCCTGGGGCTGGTCCAAAGGCCTCGGGGGGGCACATCCAGCTCCCGGGCCTTAGGTTGCCTACCCCTGTTCTAATATATAAATATAGATGCAAATTTTAAAATAATCGCTATAACAGAAATAGCTATATATGATCCACATTTGAAAAGAGTATGACTAGGTAACTCTTGTGCCTGCTCTTCCTGCTGTCCAAATGGTGCCTTTTGATCGGAAACATCAGTGGCCCTGCTCTTTCTTCCCAAGAAGTGTTAAACTTTCCTTCATTAAGAGGACCATCTGCCCATTCTTCACTTACCTGGGGGAGGGGGGGAAATCTTTGAATTAGAGAAATCCAGGTTAGTAATAAAGCAATAGAGATTGACCAACTTAGGTCAAATCAATTATATTCCATTTCACTATCAGTGGTAAATCAAAGCAGATTGCAAGTCAAATGAAGCATATAAAATAACAACTGTGAAAAGATTGCTAACATTAAGTAGTGTAACTCACTGGCTATATTTTCTTTTGTTTAAAGTCAGGTTGAGAAATTGTCCCTCTCTCACCCCCCCCCCTAATAATTATCATGATCATCAGAATCATCATGATATTACCAATAATCATACAATATTTTGTTCTTGTTGTGTGCCTTCAAGTCATTTCCAACTTATGGTGAACCTTAGGCAAATCTATCATGGGATTTTTTTTGGGGGGGGGGCAAAGATTTGTTTTGAGAGGGGTTGCCACTGCCATCTTCTGAGGGCTAGAGAGTGTGACCGGCCCAAGGTCACTCAGTGGGTTTACATGGCCAAGCCATGTAAAATATTTTAGTAAGGTGGAAATACTAATGATGAGCGATTCTGCTACAGCCATAAAGATCAACAGGGCAATCCTACTGAAGCAAACCCCATTGAGTTTAATGGGAAATATAGCTTTAAAATGCTGTGTACCTAATATATCCCTTGAAACATGGTTTCAAAGGGAATTTTTTGGGGTGGAAGCAGAGGAAAAAGAGTTGGAAAGACAACAAGAGAGGGAAAGAAAAGGGAGATGATAAGTGTAGCCAGGAGAAGAGGGAGAGAAAGATAAAAAGGATAAGAGTTAGAGAGGTGGGAAAGGAGACAGAAGACAAATGTAGCTAAGAGAATTGCAGTACAGCTGGGAAACGGAGGAAGTTGAGACAGAGGGAAGGAGACTGTGGCCTCATTCCCACTTACAAATAAATCAGTTTGTGATCCGAATCAATGGATCAGTTCGGCAGCAGAGCGTGGTTCACACTATCATTTGTCCCAATCACAATTTTTAGCTGTAAAATAACACAATTGTCGTTCCCATTGACTAATGAATCGATTCAAAATGAATCTATTCAGCTGGCTGGCAAATTTAAAGGGCAAATTTAGATTGATTCTGATCCACATCTGGTTCACACTTGCACGGAATCGATTTATCAAAAAAGATGCGGGGGAAAAACAGCGTCAAAAAGATCCACGTTAAGCCTCCCTCTCCAAGCCGCTTCAGCAATTCAGTTCATGTGTGAACTAGAGTCATTTAAACCACTTCAAACCAATTTGCAAACTGGTTTAAAACGTAGTGGGAATCAGGTCTATGGATGGAGGAAAAAGATGAGTGCGAATAGCAGATGTGGAAAGCAGGAAAAAAAGAACAATTTAGACAGGAATTGTAGTGTGGAGGGCATGAGAGAAGGGAAGAAGAATAGGTTTTGTCAGGTGTTCTGGGGAGGGGAAGAAGAATAAGAGAGAAAGAGAAAAACTAAGAAATACAGAGTGTAAGCAAGAGTTGCTGGGGAGAGGAGGACAAAGAGGATAAGGATAAAAGCAGATAAAATAAAGAACTGAAAGAGAAAGTTATCAAACCATTAAGGAGAGCTGAAGAAGAAATACATTTATACCAGGAGTTTTGAAATGAAATTGCACTATGGGTTCAGACAATTAGAATAGGGCAAGAAAGGTGGGAACAGAAGCTGTAAAGTTAGCAATAAGGAAAAGTAAAAAAAGCAGCAATCCTGCAGCACCATATTCAGTAACCTGTAGTACCAGACTCATAAGCTTATCGCACAGCACTTAAGGAATGTACGATAAACATCGGTGGCGTTCTCCTGTGCAGTAAAATGTGTTTTTGCTCCGTTCCGTTCCCTTGTGTTCCATTCTGTTCCCATTTTTCGAAGTGCCATGCAAAAAGCTTATCAGTAAATCTGTAAATCCAAAGGCAACAAATTCTGAGGCAGCCCTGTATTTCTCCACACTGACTGTTCTCTCCCCAGGCACCAGCCATGGGTTAAGAAACTTTGTGAGGAAAAGGGGGGAAAAGGAAGACATGGCAAAGAAGCCTGTGCCAGCAGAAGCCATAATCATAAAGTTTGTTTTCTTTTAAAGACAGCATTCTTGCCCTGAGATTTTTGTCCTTCACCCAGAGAGCCAGGGGAGAAGGCGCAGGTCTTGAGAACTGTAGTCTGCAAGCAAAAGTACCATCAGGTACACTTGGCCCCGGAGCCCTGTTTTACAGAGTGTGTGTCTGTGTTGTGTTGTGTTCATTCAAGTTGTTTCCGACTGATGGTGACCCAGAGGTGAACCTATCATGG